TCTTTTGTGATCTTACAAAGCTTCAAACGACGAGTCGACTATTAAATTAGTTGTCGAAGATTTTGATAGTCGACGTAATCGTGACTAGTCGACTAATCGTGGCAGCCCTACTCTCAATGTCAGCATTCAGTTATTGAGATAACAGTGACTGAGTTGGTGTAGCTCCTCGGTGCTTCTACTTTGCAGTAACGCCACTAGCAGCTGATCAGGAAGAGAGGGAAAAAATTTCCCCAAACCTATTACAGCACTCAAAATCAGTGAGCGCTTTAGAGCGACCCATTTCTTCACTGGTTTGTATTGCTTGATTTTATACACGTGTGGTAATGGGACTGAAAATACAATGTGGCCAATTTTTTTCCATACTTCAAACCAGAATCTGTTTATGGCCAAATTTCAATTTTAGACATGCAAAATTCATTTGTTCATTAAGTCTAACTGCAATATTTTTTTACCTGTAAATGTCTGCTGGTGTTGTGATTTTGTGAAGTTCGTGATGAGCATGTCCATTGCTGTGGCCATTTTTCTTTTTCCTCTTCGAGTGTTCCTTCTGCTCTTTCCTTTCACTAAACTTCAGCGTGGTGTTTTTGCCTGTATTTATTCTCACCTGATGCAAAAGGCAGACACATGGAAAGATGAAGAGAAAACTCACAGAAGACTCACAGATGTTCTAACTTATTCATTGCTCTAACCTTCTTGGGTTCGACTGTGTGAGAAAAGTAGATAGTAGGCAAACAGTTGGCTTCCTCTTCCTCCTCAAAGTCTTCCTCCTCTTTCCTGTCCTGTCTGAGTGGTGCTGTGCTGGAAGGCAGCGCGCTCCAACCTGGCTTCAAACTCAGCCCATTTACTGGAATCGCAGCATCTGCATCTTTCTCCTCTTCTGAGGAAGAGGATGATGTGTCCTCACCATTCATGTCTCCATTATCAGATAATCTGAAGGGGAAAAAACCAAAACATCTAACTTTGAAAAAGAACAAAGAAAGAGCAGGATTATTGATCTTGAAGTATCTTCACATACTTATCCTGCTCATCTTGTAGCTCCTCCAGCTTCTCGAGTTCATCCAATCTAGCCCATAGCTCCTCCTCAGTCATAATGCATTTCCTGCTTCCACTATCTCCGCTTTCCTCCTCATTCTCCTCATCCTCTTCTTTAAAATCAAAAAACACATCCTGCTTGGGCTTAGAGTTTGGCTTGTGAGCCATTCTTTGCTTTCCTGTTAAAGCGTACAGAAAAAGAAACCTTTAAACTATTCACCACTACATATGAATTTAATTCTGGTGTAGAATTAAGCAATAGGTGAAAAGCTACACTGCTTTCTCTACGGCCATGATGCACAAGTGAAATGAGGTCAGAAGAAAGGCTGACAAAGATACCTTTGGTGACAACAGAGTCATTGTTTCCAACCTCCTCTCTGATGTCAACATAGTCGCCTTTACTCTAAAAGAACAAGAACATTACAGTTAATGTTTTTGCCCCCATTTATGACTTGCACAATAACTTATGTGTGAGACAACTCGTTGGTAATGCAACATACAGCAGAGATGGTTTCCAAATCCTTCGCAAACCCAACTCTGGCTTCAAAGTTTTTTATCGTCTTGGACAGGCCATCTAGTTCATTCTTCACATCTGTAGACAGCAGATGCATTTTCATTAAACTGTGCACTTAGGAGGGCAAACTGACAAAGCCGCATGTGCCGAAAAAAGACACAGAGACAGCAGGCAGATTTCAATGAAACGCTTCAAAAAGAAAAAAAGAAAAAAGACAACCAGCTTGTAAAGAGTTAAAATCCTAAACAAGTTGTGAAGAGGAAAAAAAATGAAAAATGATGACACAAACAGTTGATAATATCTTCTGCCCTGAATACTACTCCGGATCATTAAATCTTCACAACAATTAAGCCCTTTCACTAATAGCAGCAGAGGGCCCTTGTTTCCATGGCAATCGGGAGCCCCTCCAGTCAGTGCATCAACTGGAAGTGAGGAAAGGTCAAACACAGAAGGCCTGACAACTCAGCCGCTGTCTGACACATTTCAGCTAGCTATGTTTGTATTACAGCACTTAGCTCTGTAATAGCAGGGTGGGCAGGGTCAGGAGATGGGGGAGGACGAGAGCGGGGGGGGTTGGGGGTGGCGCTGCGGATGGGGCTGTGGCAGCACATTTCTGCTTCACTAAACATTCTAATAATGTTCACATCAGAGATCGTTACTTGGGCCCATTTGACTTGATATGAGATTTTCAGAGCTAGAAATGAGCAGCGGGGTTAACACGCACAGGGAAGCAAAGCTGCACACAACTGATGTGAGATCGAACAAAGCCGCTGCAGTAACAGGGCCCGATTTGACCACAGAAAAGAGGAACAGGTAGGAGCTGTTATCCCACGGTTCACAGCCTAATCAGCGACAGCGGTGACCTGAATGAATGCAAAAGCTGCACAGTCCACGAGCCCTGCAAACACTGCACATTGAAATAAAGGCACGTCGAATGTGTCGGCAACCCGCTACGAAAAACGTCCAACAGCTGTAGCATCTTTGCATACGTATGACTGCTGTGGTGAATCATTACACGGTTTAAAGTTTTTCCTTCAAGGATCTGCTCAGACAAGCTATGTTGATGTGATGCACTTGCGCCCTCTGCTGGATGAAAAGCAGCATTAACAGATTATGTTAATGTCACGCGGTAAGTATTCAGTAAGAAGGGAAAAAACATTGTTTAAGGAAAATACTCACATTTCATCCTGTGATCAACAATTTTTTGAGCTTGCTTGGCAGAGCACTTGGTGAACCAGTTGTCACCCAGCAGCACTGTGACCTCGTTGGTGTGTACCAGTTTTCCGGGCATAAAGGCCAAAGGGCCAAATGGTACCTGCACGTGTGGAAAAACAGAGCGTAAGAAGAAAACAAAGGGAAACAGGTCAAATCAAACAAATAGAGCAAACGTAAATAAAGGAGTAAAACGTATATAGGAGCAAACTTTTGTGTATTTTAGAAGTCTCTCCTTTCCTCTGTATTTTAAACAAGGTCATCACTCACCATGATGTCATATGACAGTTGATCTGGCAGAGTTTTGAGGCGGTCATTCAGGGCTTCATAGTCACCCGACACCTTCTTCCTGCAAACAAAAGGTTTCTCCAATGAAACCACAGCTCTCTGAAGCCATCCTGTCTAATTTGGTGTGTTTGTCATATGTTGGGATAAGTCAAAATTTAAACAATGGGAAGCAAACAATGGAGTAAAGGGGGAGCGGCTGTTTTCCATTTGGGGATAGCAGCTAAAGTAGCCTCAAGATGTCACTGTTTTTTTATTTACTTATTCTTATTACTTATTTTTTGCTGGGCATTATAAAACCTTAGGAATTATAGAAAGAGAAACTGACCAAAAACGGACCAGCTAATTAAAATTTCTTATCATATTTATACAAAAAAGACAACAGAAACAAAAAATCCCCTCAACAAAAATCACTTGACCACTTTGTAAATGGACCACAGCTCCCAAAGCTTTATGACAGCATCCCCAACATAAACTACTGAATCAGGCTCAGCTTCCAATGCCTTTTACAGCAAGTGTTATATTCCCATTTGAAAGCACAGTGCTGCCAACAGCCCCCTCATACTGGGTAATAAATCCCTCCAGTCATCTGTTGGAAGACTATTTTCTCCTTTACACTCTCCTCTTGCAATCAAACATTTGAAACCAAACTTTTTAATGAGCACTTTAAAATCCAATTAGTAAACAACTACAGCAACGGAGGCAACAGTACTTTTTTGTAGCTTCTGTAATGCATTTTCAGTAGGATTTATGAATTTTACATTTATGAACTTTGCATGCAGTTACATCCATAAGTTGTTGTTCTTTCCAAGCAGTTGGATTAACTGACAAGCAGACTGTCAGGTGAAGCCTGTTCCCTTATGTCATGACAAGTAATACAGATAAAAGATCTTTAGTTGATTATAAGCTTTTAATTTGGATTTAGTAGCTGTTTACTGGAGGAGATGTTGACGAATGAAGGCCATTATTACGGTTAAAAAACAAACAAACAATGATCAAGAAGCTGGCCTCACAGCCTATTGTTCGTCAGTGGTGCTAGTTTCAGTCATTGTTCAAAGGTACTGTTTATAAGGGTGGAGAAACCTGCAGTCAGCTGAGACTAAAGACGTCACTTGAATGAATGATTTAAAACAGAATCTACTTCTTGGGAAACAAACAAAATGAAGCTATGTAATCTGGCCTACAGAAAGGTCAGATTACACGTTAGAGAAAACATGTGAAAGCCCCTGCAAGTTCTTGAAAAAAACAACAACATCTGAACCGATGAAACCACGATTAACTTGTACCACAATGATAGAAAGCAAAAGGTATGGAGGAGGAGAGAAACAGCCCATGAGCTGAAGAACACGACATCGTCCCTCAAACGTGGTGAAGACAATGTTATAGGACGGGCACATATGGCTGCCAGTGAAACTGGGCCAGGAGTGTTTACTGATGATGTCACTACTGACAGAAGTACATACTGTGAAGTGTACAGAGCTATACTCTCTGTTCACACTGCAAACAGATAATGATCCAAAGCAAACTGCAAAAGCAACCCAAGAATTTATCAAAGTAAAGAAATGGGATATTCTTCAGTGACCAAGTCGGTCACCTGATCTCATCCCAACAGATCCTGCTTTTCAAAAACTGAACAGAAAACTGAGGGTGGAGAGACTCCCAAAAAACAAACAAGCAGCAGCAAATGAAGGTGGCTGCATGAAAACCGAGCAGCACTTTATGATGTCCTTCGACAGACATTGACTGGAAAGGATTTTTTAATTCAAGTATTTAAAAAGATCCTTATATTTACAAGTATGTTTGTTTGTGCAAATAGTTTTAAGCCTCTGAAAATGGGCGAGTGTTTATAAAAATGGTAGCAAATCTTAAGCAATTAAATAAAAACAACTGACCGCTTGACTTAAAAACCACCATGGTAGTGTACAGATTAAAGCTATGATTAAAAAAGCCAAACTGTGTGAATTTCATCATAAATCTTCTGCTGCGTGCTCCTTTAAGGAGCCACCACAGCAGATCATCTAACTCTCATATCCACCTTCACTATATCCATGACTTAACTCTTCAGTCTTCCTCTTTCCTTTCTGCCTGGCAGCTCCAAAATACCAACCATCTCTCCTCTACACATGTCCAAAGCATCTCAATCTTACACCTCTAGCTTTGTCTCCTAAGCTGTCCTGCCAATATCCTAATCTCTATCCCTATTGGTCACTCCCAACAGAAATCTAAGCATCTTCAACTCTGTCACCTCCAGCTCTACCCCTTGTCTTTTTATCGGTAGCAACACCTCTAAACCATACATCATAGCAGGTCTCACTACCATCTTGTAAGCCTTCCCTATCCCTCGTTCTTCTATCCATTTGTCAAATCACCCCTGGCACTCATCTCTATCCACTCCACCCTGTCTGTACTCTATTCTTCACCTCTCTCGTACGCTGTCTATTATTTTAGATCACTCACGCACACTTCACTCACTATGTTGGAAGGATAGAAAGTGGCGAATTTAAAAATAAATAAAGACATTGAGAGGGGACCTTTAGATTCACAGTGCGATACAGTGGCCTCAGCATATTTTAAGATATTTTTCTGCTTCTTCTTTCAAATTTACTTACTTTTTTTGTTTTTAATTTGGGAATAGGCAAATATTCTGCCAAATCAGACCCTTGTGTAAAAGAAACGTGAGAGAAACTACACTGAATAGCGTATAACTGGACTGGATTAATGTATCAACAATAACAAAAAGGGGATTTATCTCACGTCAGGTCCGTGAATGCTACTAGGAGCATGAGGTAGATATTTATCACACTCTATGCACGCCCATATAGTCTTAAAAGCCCCAGTCAGTGGAAATGAAATCACCTGTGTGAGTCTGTCGACACTTACAGGACAATGTTTAGACATCTGTTACAAAGAAAATGTTTTATCACCCTTTTACTGATAAGTACTCTCTTTCATTTTACACATAATGCAAAATAAATGTAATAACACAAAACCTACATGCACTTTTCTTATTTTAATCAATAATACTTAAAACACTGATGCTAACACCCCATACTTAGAATCAATGGAAATGCACTTACTGTAGCAAATCTACCCTGTAGTGAAGCCCCTGCACAGTCATGGTCCACTCACACAGGTGTTTTTATCTGTCTGTTAAGAGCTCTACTATCTCTTAATGTCTCTCTGTGCATACACCACATGTCAATTCCCTTAAATGCAGCAATACTTTCAGCATCTTTTTTTTGTTAGCAGCTCTGCTAATCTATGTCTGCTTACAATGCCTGTAGTATAACAAGGCACAAAAACAGACTACTGCCACTGAAACAAAGTAGCAACTTCCTCAAATACGGCAAATTGCAATGTGAAATGTACTATATACACTTAAATACTGGGACACACCTTTAAATCTTTGAATTCAAGTACTTACAATCCATCACCTAAACATGCGTTTACAAACATTTGTGACAGAACTGGTCTTTCCAAAGACTTCACTGAATTCAAGTGTGGTACTGTCAATAAATGTTTTTCCTACTAGAGTAAAAGCATTCGGGAACCAAAGTGGTAGACCATGTAAAGTTTCAGAGCGTGGACACCGAGTAATGAAGCGCATAGTAGACAAAAGTCGTCATCACTCTGCCGACTCAGCAGCTACAGACCTCCTCTGGCATTAAGATCAGCACAAAAGCTGTGCGTTCGGAGCTTCATGGCACAGGTTTCTATAGCTGAGCAGCTCCCGTAGTGTAATGTGTAAGCGGCCCAGTATTTTTGTCCATATACAGCATCTCTGCATGTTTCCCTTTTGTAAACTACTTGCATGTGCACATTCAATAAAATAAGCTAGTTTTCTTTTAATCAGCTGTGCTGTTGCAACACAATTTGTGCTAAACAAATAAATCTAAACTTGTTGATCTCACATCAGAGTGAAGTCTGTCCTTGAAGACCCACAGGTCATAGCAAGCAAGGATTGATGAGTATTAAGTAAGAGAAATGAGATGGAGCCACCCTCCCTGACATGTTACTTCTCTGATAATACTTCAATCATTCTTTTTATTAACCAAATTCTATTAAGGTGTTTCCATGTCACTAACCTGCTTCCTCCACTTCCCATTGATTCATTAATGTTGAATTCTCTCGCAGCTGTTCTATTCCCATGTTGTTGCAGTATATTAATAACTAACCTCGTATTGTGGATGAATAATCTCAGTTGTTATCCTGACTGAAGTTTGGCCCGTGTATAGCATCCTGCTATGCGATTCCATTTGTCCCTGACCACCAGAATCCCTCACCTTAACTTTTATCGAGTGGAAAAAAAGTTGGCATCATCCTCCAGCTTCACTGTGCTAATGTTATGCTAACATAGCTGTGTCGCTAGCAATCACGTAGCACAACATTATATATCAGGTAGTCCAACTTCAGTAACCCTGCAAACGCCACTGCTGTTTAGTTTTCTGTCTTCATTTATGTTGGAAGTGGTAGCAGAGCTGTACGTTTTAATTAGTTTTAAAAATCTCTCGGTCAGAACATGGTAGGAAATGTTTAGGTGGAAACTAGCGAGCTAACTTCCTATTTACTTCTAACTCCGTTAAATTTAATAAATTCTGTTTTCATGGATGCCTGGATGTTAAACTTAATTGTTACACCTGGTAAAGCGGCAACGCTGATGATTTAATTAAAGATGAAAGAATTTAGACCGTTTTTAACTCTCAGTGTTCGTTTGACTTTGGGACCTGAAATGGACGGAGTTTTGGACCCAGATTACTCCGCGAAGCTCCTTACTACGGCAGCCGTAATGCTCTGACAATCCATCAAGCAGTGCGGCTTACCAAAGTTGTACTAAAACATTTTTAACAGATTTCTGCACGCCCACATCGGTTCGAGGTCAGCAAACACAACCAGAATTCATACATAAGGCACACTCTCGATTTTTGAGAAAATTAAAGGATTTTAAGTGTGGAAAATATGTCATATCGCCATATCGGCCAGCCCTAACACCTACAATAAAAAGTCAAAAATCTGTGCTGTGAAATGGGGCCTGCTGGAACCTGAGCAAAGGTCAAACACTTCATTAGGAAATAAAAGAATGTCACTGTGTGGGTGTGCACAAACTTGATAAGCAACTGACGTTTTCTGTCAATTTAGAAAGTATTGATGACCCTAAAAGAATCAATTTTTGGTTATAACAGCATGTTTGTGCAAAATAGGGCAAAAAAAATGGGGAGTTCTAAACCTGATATAGTAAACTTCAAAACTACACTAAAGGAATATTAGAACATGAAGAACCTACACAGTGTACTCAGTTAATGCAAGCATATTTTAAAAACAACCAACTTTGTGCTCAAGTTCATTGGTGCTTTCATGCTTACCAGTGTTGAATCCGACTTTCACAGTCTTTCACCACCTGTTTCAGGACAAATAATTTTAGTAAGAATCAAGCTGATAAATCTACGCAACTTACACAGTCTCCTAGGTGGAAATTTAAACATTTAAATCATCTGTGATAAAACATTCATTTCACCGAGGCTTTTACCCCGGCTGCAGACACAACTGCCCAGAGGCACGAATTTATATGTAATAATAGTTTGACAATCATCACACACAGGGAAGTAGGTCAGCAACTCCGAGGAAGTAGGACGTGACAAACACGGCTGTCAAAAAATTAATAATTTAAAAATGAAGCAAAAAAAATTAAATAAAAACACAGTGTTTTTGTGTCTAGGTGAAATTTACTTAACAAAGTAAAGAAGCAAACAGCACTGGTATAAAATTCTTTTTTTTTTTTAATGCCAAGAAACGAACCTAGCTGAGCACGCCCTCATACAGCATTTAAACTTGAACATGTGAGTGTCTGAAGAAGGAGGAAGCTTCTCGAAAACTGAAAGTGAAAACAACAAACACTCTTCGTGTAACCTGTGAAACAATAATGGCACAGATGTGTATATTTGTATAAAAGGTACTTCAGCAAGTCCCAGCAAGTGGTTCCAAGACCTTCCCGGGTGCACCATGTGGCCAGTGACTGACGGTGGCTTGGCTAACGTTGCATACTAGCCAGCAAAATGTTTCGCGACAACTGGTGATATTACCTTTTCGTGCTCCTCTCGGAGCCTGATAACTCCGCCGAGGTGTTCTATATCCACTTGACCCTTTTCAGCCATTGCCAACCCACTTGCACAAAATAAATTTCTGGTGTTTCGTGACCCCAAAACAAAGCTCAAGGGCTGTTGTGAGTTCTAAAGAAGTGTTTATGAATGCAGCAGCAGCTATTCCTGAGACCCGTTCTGCTCGTATTCATCAATGGGTCAGTGATAGTTATCCACACTTTCGGAAGTGATATCATCTCACACTCTCATTTCAGAATTTCTGCATGATTTCCAAAAATATCCACAGTCTGAATATCCGAAGATTAGCCAATACTCCTTGTCACTCTCGCTGCGCCATGCACCTCCGTCCAACTCCAAGAACTCAACCGTTATTCCAGGGTGGTATCCGGTCTGAACTTTCAAAATAAAAGACTTCGGTTGTATACTTGGTTTAGCATTAACAACAACAACAAATACAAAACGTAAAATTAAAGAAAAAAAAACTAAAACAATTATACTTTTGGTGGACAGAAGTGAATAGGAATAAATCTGGTAAAATTACAGTCACAACAAAGTGTGGTGGCTTCTTTCTACTCTCAAGCCCATCCTCCAGTTTCACATCAGCAAGTTTTTCGTAAGGCTAAAAAATCAGTCTGTGTTGGATTCACACAAGTAATTCAGCTTGCGTATGGAAGGTTAAGATATGGAGGTCGACTGGGCCACTGCAACACCTTGAGTTCGGTAGACTTAATAACTGCAAGGCGCACACATCCTGTAACTACAAATGATTAAATTTTAAAAGTGTGTACTTTATTTTTACCACGACTCCACGAGTACTTCAAAAGTTTTAGCATTTAATGCATCGCTTTCCTTTCTCATTTAATACTTTTATTTTGAATGTCAAACATTGCATTTTCCGTTTTGGTTTCAAATGAAGCGAGCTTGATGCAGTTCTTCCTCCCAGTGTACTCTGGGTAAATATGAACGACTGCACAGATGTAAACAATCTAAAGCGAGGTAATGTTGTTCCACCTGCATATAAAAACAGTGACAAGCACATCAGATTTGCACATTCAGGCACTATTTAACTGGCAGCAGGTGCAAACCTCCCCATGTTCACCTTCCCGATGCTGCACGAAAATTTACATATAATATTTAAACACACATCACATAAAAGCCTATAAAAGTATCAGAAGTAACTAGTGAATCAAACACGGCAGTTGAATGAGTTTGATTTAATATGATAACAACAATATGATTTATCCCGAAGCTCCCAATCTTGCTGTATGGCAGGAATTAAATAGTCTGTTTTTGTTGCTTTTAATTGCTGTTGGAAATATGAGAAACACCAGTTATAAACAATGTGTACACAAGCTACAAAAAAGAACGGCTAATAATTCAGAGTTTACCCTTTAAAGCACAGTGAACACAGATTATTTGGCCTGAAAATCAAAGACTATTTTCAACTGTCCAATGATATTTTAACGTATTTAAGTTAAGAATATGTTATAATGGCTTGTTGCCATATATGCTATATTTATAAACTCACACGCTGTTAAAATGTACAATTTGTAAGAAAAATATAACAATACTAATTTAGGCTAGTCTAAAAATATTATACATTGCTGAAACTTGTATTGGAATTTAGGCTGAAC